CGTTGGCAGTGCTCATCCCAGGGTGCCGGGAAGAGCTATTGCATTCCTCCTTCCCTGGGAAGGAAGTGGTGTTAGCATTCCCATTTCCCAAAGTTCTGGCTCTGAGGCCTTGTAGACCAGTCTAGCTGATTGTTCAAGGGGATGTTTGTCTTGGACCCCCTTATCAGCCCTTGAAAGCTTCTGGAAGCACTTGGATCCTAGGTCGAACCTACATTCTTGAAGCCATCTTCAGACAGAGAGAAAGAGACAGAAAGACAGACAGAGGGAGAATGAATGTCTGGACATTCTGCTTCCAAGAAGGGCAGCTTTCTAGAATTCGCTTCCCTGAACTTGGCTCCATCCCAGCCCTGATTGTGGCCTGAGGGGCCAAGTGGGACCTTCCTGGCTGTTCTCCCACCAACACAGTCCAGAGTTCGGGGCATGACCCCCCTGGTGAGAAGCAGGCTAGATCTGCTGTGGGAAACCTTTAACTGCATGTCCTAGGAGACCCACGAGAAAAGAGTCTTCCTCCTCTCCTGTGCAGCCCCTACCCATGGAGCAGCCCACCAGGCCATCGTTTCTGGGTTTGCCCTGTAGTTACCCATGGGAGAGGGGTATGATTCCTGCTCAGGTGATTTGGTCCCCTGGTTACACCCAGAGATACAAGGGGAGGAGGAAGCATCCCTGCATAGGTGGGGGATCTGGACCTTGTAGATTTCTCTGAAAAGCATTTTTCTATCTACAGCAGATAAGGCCTTGGAAAACTGGTCTCTTAATACTATTATCATTCCCAGAAAAATTAACAGTAACTCGTGAATACCATCCAATAGACAGTGTTGCATTTTCCCCCAGTTAAAACAAAAATGCTATTGTTTAAAGCTTTATTGAGATATATTCCACATACCAGGAAGTTCATCCATTTAAGGTATACTGGGGGCTTCCCTGGTGGCACAGTGGTTAAGAATCCACCTCCCAATGCAGGGGACGCAGGTTCGATCCCTGATCGGGGAACTAAGATCCCACATGCCACAGGGCAACTAAGCTTGCATGCCGCAACTACTGAGCTTGTGCATCTCAACGAGAGAGCCCGCATACTGCAAACTACAGAGCCCATGCGCCCTGGAGCCTGCAGGCCACAACTACAGAGCCCATGCACTCTGGAGCCTGGGCTCCACAACTAGAAAGAGAAAATCCATATGCCACAACTAGGGAGAAGCCCACGCACCACAATGAAGAGCCCACGCTGCAATGAAAGATCCCGTGTGCCTCAACGGGATCCCTGGACCACCAGGGAAGTCCCTTACTGTAATGTCTTCAGGCTTATCTGTAGCATGTATCAGTACTTTTTTTTGGCCATATAATATTCCATTGTATGGGTAGACCAGATTTTGTGTATCAGTTGATGGGTATTGGGGTTGTTTCCACCTTTTGGCTATTAGGAATAATGCCACTATGAACATTGCTGTACAAGATTTTCTGTGAACATAGACTTTCATTTCTATATACCTAGAGGTGGAATTGCTGGACCACATGGTAACTCTGTGTTTCAATCTTGGGGAACTGTCAGCCTGTTTTCCAAAGAGGTGCACCATTTTATACTCCTGCCAGCAGTGTATAAGGATTCCAGTTTCTCCACATCCTCACCAACACTTCTTATTTTCTGTCTTTTTGATGATAGCCATCCTAGCATATCTCCCTGTGGTTTTTTTTTTTTTTTTTTCTCACTGTGGTTTTGATTTTTATTTTCCTGGTGACTAATGATGTTGAGCATCTTTTCTTGTGCTTATTGCCCATTTGTATATCATCTTTGGAGAAGTGTCTGTTCAGATCTTTGCCCATTTTTTAAAATATTTATTTATTTATTTTGGCTGTGCTGGGTCTTAGTTGTGGCATGCAGGATCTTCCTTGAGGCACACAGGATCTTTTAGTTGTGACATGTGGACTCTTTAGTTGCGGCATGCGAACTCTTAGTTGTGCATGCTTGCAGGATCTAGTTCCCTGGCCAGGGATCAAACCCAGGCCCCCTGCATTGGGAGTGCAGGGTCTTATCCACTGGACCCCCAGGGAAGTCCTTGCTCATTTTTAATTGGATTATTTTTCTTATATGTAGTGGATTCAGTTTGGTAGTATTTTGTTGAGGATTTTTGCATCCGTATTCTAGTTTTTCTGTGATATCTTTGATTTTTATCAGGGCAATATTGGCCTCATAGAATGAGTTAGGAATTCTTCTGGTTTTTGGAAAAGTTTGTTAAGAATTGGTATTAATTGTCCTTTAAATTTTTGATAAAAGTCATTGGTGAAGCAATCTGGGCTTGGGCCTTTTTTCACGTGTTGTTTTTGTTTTTGTTTTTGTTTTGCTAATTCAGTCATTTTACTTGTTTTAGGTCTATTCAGATTATTTTGTCTTGAGTCAGTCTTGGCAGTTTATGTCTTTCTAGGAATTTGTCCATTTCATCCACCTTATCTGATTTGTTGGCATACAACTGTTCATAGTATTCCTTTATAATTCTTTTTATTTCTGTAGGGTCAATAGCAATGTTCCCTCTTTGATTTCTCATTCTAGTAATTTGAGTCTTCTCTTTTTTTCTTGGTCAATCCAGCTACAGGTTTGCTAATTTTGTTGATCTTTACAAAGAACCAGCTTTTAGTTTCATTGATTTCCTCTATTATTTTTCTGTTCTTTATTTCAGTGGTCCCTAACCTTTTTGGCACCAGGGACTGGTTTCGTGGAAGACAATTTTTCCACGGACCAGGGGGTGGAGTGGTTTCAGGATGATTCAAGAGCATTATATTTATCGTGCACTTTATTTCTATTATTATTACATTGTAGTATATAATTAAATAACTGTACAACTCACCATAATGCTGGCAGGAGGTGGAGCTCAGGTGGTAATGTGAGCAATGGGGAGTGGCTATAAATACAGATGAAGGTTGCTTGCTTGCCTGCTGCTCGCCTCCTGCTGTCCGTGGACCAGGGGTTGGGGACCCCTGCTCTATTTCATTAGTTTCCACTCTAATCTTTATTGTTTCAGTTTTTCTACCTTCTTTAGTTTTATTTTGATCTGTCTTTTCCAGTGTCTTCAGGTAGAAGATTAGGCTATTGATTTGAGATCTTTCTTCTTTATTAATATTGTCACTTCCAGCTAAAATTTCTTTCTAAGCACTGCTTTAGCTGCATCCCGTAAGTTTTGGTGTGTTTGTGTTTTCATTTTAATTCATCTCAAAATGTTTCTAATTTCCTTTGCAATTTCTTCTTTGACCCATTGGTTATTTAGGAGAATGTTGTTTAATTTCCATATATTTGTGAACTTCCAAAAGTTTCGTCTGTTATTGATTTTTTTAAAATAAATTTTATTTATTTATTTTTGGCTGCATGCGGTCTTCATTGCTGCGTGTGGGCTTTCTCTAGTTGCAGTGAGCAGGGGCTACTCTTCGTTGCCGTGTGTGGGCTTCTCATTGCGGTGGCTTCTCTTGTTGCAGAGCATGGGCTCTAGGAGCCCAGGCTTCAGTAGTTGTGGCTCGCAGGCTCTAGAGCACAGGCTCAGTAGTTGTGGCACACGGGCTTAGTTGCTCAGCGGCATGTGGGATCTTCCTGGACCAGGGCTCAAACCCTTGTCCCCTGTGTTGGCAAGCAGATTCTTAACCACTGTGCCATGAGGGAAGCCCCTGTTATTGATTTCTAATGTAACTCCATTGTGGTCGAGAATACACATTTTGTATGATTTCAGTCCTTTTTAAATTTATTGAGTCTTGTCTTATGGCCTAACATATGGTCTATCCCGTAGAATGTTCTATTGGGTTGGCCAAGAAATTTGTTCATTTTTTTCCATAACATCTTATGGAAAAACCCAAACGAACTTCTTGGCCAACCCAATATGTATATTCTGCCATTGTTGAGTGGAGTGTTCTATAGATGTCTGTTATATCCATTTGGTTTATAGTGGTCTTCATATCTTCTGTTTCCTTGATGATCTTCTATCTAGTTGTTTTATCCATTATTGAAAATCGGGTATTGAAGTCTTCAACTATTTCTCCTTTCAGTTATCTCAGTTTTTGCTTCATATAGTTTTGGGACTTCATTGCTAGGTGCATGTATGTTTATAATTATCATATCTTCCTGATGGATTGACCCTCTTATCATTATAAATGTTCCTCTGTGTTTTAGTAACAATTTTTATCTTAAAGTCTATTTTGTCTGATATTAGTGTAGCCACTCTGCTTCTCTGTTGGTTACTGCTTGCATAGTATATCTTTTTCTATACTTTTGTTTTCAACCTATTTGTATCTTTGAATCTAATATGTGTCTCCTATAGACAACATGAGGTTGGATCATGTTTTCTTATGTATTCTGCCATTCTCTGCCTTTTAACTGAAATTTCAGCCATTTACATTTAATGTAATTACAGATAAGAAGGACTTCTGCCATTTCACTATTTGTTATTTTTGTTATCTGAATGCCTAACTATGCACTAGACCCTTTATATAAATTATCACAGTTTTTTTGTACCCATTTAATTACTGAGGAGTCTAAAATCTAGGAAGATGCAGTAACAGCCTCAGTCATTGGTGGAGCTGAGCTATGAGACCAACATTGCACCCATCAGCTCTTGCCTTGAAGTTTCCTCCCTGCTCCTCTGGCTTCCCCCTTACCCTCCAAGGGCCAATCTGCACATGCGGCCAGAAGTACCCTTTAAAAATATAAATCCAATAAATTCCTTGTTGATCTACCAATGGCTCCTACCAAAGGGCATGAGATGCTTCATGATGAGTGACTCCTGCTTACTGAACACATTCAAACCGAGGG